GTGGCTACCGACGAGGACTGGGATGCTACAGACATGACCGAAGAGAAGGACTGGCGGGAATATACCCTCGGCGGCGTCTGAATAGGCGACGTTTTAAACGACCGATATGAAGTCGTCACGAAAGCCGCTCGCAGATCGGACGGAAGATGCATCACACGGTTGGCACTCGATAGGTTGAAGTGCGTTGTTTTCCCTGTTCTCCGGCGCGGCGACGGTGATTGAGATATATATAGGGTCCACCAGCTTGTTCGACTCCAAATCTTCAAATCCGCCCCCCAGTACACTCAGTCAGCGATCGAGGAGATAAACCATCTCAAGGGCCTATTAACGTCTTCCGATTCCAACATCCTCAATGTACACCCAGGGCAAGCCCATATTGTACGTTTCCTCGACCCCTTCGTACACCAGGGACCCAGCAGCACACATGTGTGTACGGCCTTTGAGTTTTTGGAGGATATTCGGCATTTGAAGAAATTGTACGACGGGGTACGTAACGACGTTAATTCGCGTGCTCCCAACACCGTTGATACGATGCCTCTCGGTGCAGAATAAAGGTGTCCCTATCCTGCTCGTAAAGCAGATCGCAAAACAGGTCTTGCTGGGTGTGGACTACATGCATCATCGTCATGGTCGCGGCGTTATACATACCGGTGAGATACTCTTCAATACCTATAGCTGTTTTTTCCCTTATATTATCATTAGACATAAAACCCCAGAACCTTTTCATCGATGTTAGCAATCATCCGGAGACTATCACGGTACGGATTGCAGAGTGGCAGAATGCCAGCAATGCACCTTGTTAGTTTTACATCTAGCCTTTGAGTGATTGACTTCTGATCAATCGTTTCCCTCAAGTGAATCGTGATTCGGTATCTTCAGTGACACGGATGGGACAGCATCACATTTTCACAAACAGAATCGAAACTGGGCGGTACCGCTGCCCCGAGGCCATCATTTGCTGGGAGGTTGGGACGGGCGCAGATATATGGAGTGTTGCCTGCGTGGTACGCCCCGTATGATTTCTCAATTGCACGTTCACCAATGTCCATCAGCTGTTCGAGCTGATAACCAGTGAGGACTTGTTCAACACATTTTCAACGCCAAGCGACCGCTTAGCGCAAATGATCCAACTTCTCGGGGAGTTCCCAAAGCATATGCTAAAGAGCGATTCACGGGGCCCAGGTTTTTTCGATTCAAGAGGTGAATCACATCGCCCGCCTTTGCGTGTTTCTGATTTCTGTGCATCCAAGAGGAATACTGGTATATCAACATGCTGTCTCCATCGCCGCTTCCCTCCGTTCTCCATGACAAGCACCATTTCACGCAGTCCGAAGCAAAGGCTATCGCTGACTTCCTGCTACCCATGTTGGAATTGGATCCAGCGGCTCGTGCGACTGCCGAGGACCTGCTACTACACCCGTGGCTTTGTGATGTTCCCGACGTTGACAGAAAAAATGAAGACGGACACGACGCGGACGCGATGAATCCGGCAGACTACTGTGTCGCTGAAAGTGCCGAAGTCGGGAGGCGGAAAAGAAAGCGAACCGACGACTAAATGATCCCCGGGGAATGGGATTTTGAAGTATCGGTTTGGTATTCGTTTGTACTCTTCCCTGTAGAATCACATCACGAGTTATGCACAACCGATGTGGCAGTCGGAAAATAGCGCCGCGACGAATTGAGGTGAGCGGTCAAAAGGGCAACACTGAAGAAAAGATGAACGAGAATTGCGATGACTCGGGCCCGGTCACACGGGCGACTTGATGCACCCAGTGAGAATCCCGTGTGTGCAGGTATGCTCAGATGTGTGTAAATCTGGCTCTTAAAATTTGAACATATCTGAGCATACCCTCCCACATACGAGCACATACTCTGGAAAATGTTTCAGGAATATTCACCAGAATGCGCTTCAATCTGTTCAAATAAGTGCACGACAATCTCAAATGTGCTCATTTATGTTCCGCTCCGTTGCTTGTAACATGCATTATATTCCAGGCACATATAGAATACTACAAATACTGCTATTACGGTGGCCCAGCGGGCGAGGTGCCATCGCCGCTTCGTTCCGGCGCAGCCCTGTTGGCGTACATTCAAGAGTGTTGTGGCGAGACGGCGGGGTGCCGCGATCGTGGTCGGGGCGTCGAGTGAGGCGTGGCGGCGATGGGAATATGAAGATGGGGTAAAATCGAGGTCGGGCCGGATTGAGCAAGGTGTGGTGGTGCAAAAAGGAAGCTGGGTGCAACGGTTAGCCTAGAGGAAATGTAGAGCTCACGCGTTGGGTGGATGGAACCGGATGCGGCGAAGGCAGGCTCTTATAGTTGAGGGACATGGGAAATGATGAGTATAGAGAGAAGGGTACAGTTCGGGGAAGGGAGGGAAGAGCACGGGACGGCGGGAAGCAGGGAGGCGAAAGGGTGGGAGGGAGATCATAGATGGTGGTGGTACGAGATCAAGAGGTGCTTTAAACTCCGACACACAATCCGGCGCCTATGATGTCGGCGACGTCTTCGACTTCGAGAAGTCCGGATTCCATTCAAGTCAAACCAAACATATTGAGCAGCACCGGGAGAAATTTTCAAACAAAGCTTGAGCAAAACTCAACAATTCCGAGACATCAAAATCTTTTTTGAATTCAGTAAGCATATTTATAACAGATTTCAGCATATGGAACACATTTGCACACATCTGAGCATACCTGCCCAGACGGGATTCTCATCGGGAGCTTGATGAGGTCCCATCCGCCACCGAGTCAGTATCCAACCTGAATGTGTCTTTTTAATACTTACACAAGTTTGCAAGCTCATTCTGGGTTGGAGTAAACACATCGCGGGGAACAGTGGAAGAGTCATGCAGGCTCAGAATCCAAAGATTTCGAAAGATTGATGGACCCGAAAAAGTGAGTGTTGAGAAAAATAAGGAAAAAAGATTCAAGCTCGCATGGGAATGACTCGGCGGGCGTCCTCTGCTTGACACTGTCCATATTGAGCACATGGGCCGCAGATGCGGGCCGGCCGCCACCGAGTCGGTATTTGGCTTGGACGCGCCCTGCATAAAGCATAAACGAGATCAGAAAGATCAGCGGGTGGCAAAAATAGTGCGCGCGCAACGTGGAATATGGAAAAGATACTTGACAGACTCCACAATTTCTGGCAATATATCTGAGACGAATTGAGCTGAGGGCGAAGGGCGCAAAAGTGAGGAAAAGAAATCGAGCTGCTTCATGACTCGGGCCCGGATCGAACGGGCGGCTTCCACTGAAAAATGCGTGGTCGCGTGAGACGACAGAGCGTAGACGCGGGCCATCCGCCACCGAGTCGGTATTCAGCTTGAATGTGCTCTGGATAAAGAAGTAAATGAATAGTCAGGGAACAGCGCGCTGTGTTGAGCGTCAGAGCGATCGGGTGATGGTATTCCGAGGCACCTCTGAGAAATCCGACGCGATGTTCCAAGAAATCGACTGAAGAGAAAAGATAGCACCTAGGGAAAGAAAAATGGAGTTGGCGAGCGTCAAAAACCGCAAAGTACAAGAAGTTACTGGAACAAATCCAGGACTCGGGCCCGAGTCGAACGGGCTCTTCTGCGTACCAATGGATCACGAGCAATAAGAAGCAGCTGCGGTCCGTCCGCCACCGAGTCGGTATCAGTAGCTTCTTTGACGTATATCTCTACACCAGCTAGAATGAACGAAGTCAGTGCCACATTGTGCATTTGGATGAAATACCCACGAGCACCATGGCCAGCGAGGTCTGGTATTCGGAGAAAATGAGCTGGAAACGCGCAATATGGGTTCCCGGAAAAAGAGGGGAAAGCATGTGTTCTGGGAGACAGGTGGTAAGAATATTAATAAGAATAAAATGATCAGCAAGCAAATTGCTGTCATGACTCGAATCCGGTGAGTGGCTCCCGGGAAAGGCTGGTGGGCGACATACCCATAATGAGCAGATGTGGACGTTTCTGCCAAGCAAGCTGAGACGAGGAAATTCAGGGATGGAGAATGTTTTTGGGAATGCCGTGATTCCCAAGCGAGTGTTCATGTCATATCTCAGGTAGGGCTTCGTATACATCGAGTACGCAGGCCAAAAGATCAAGCATATCTGGCTGAGCAGAAAGGAATAAAAATCGGACAAAAAAAACAGTGGACGGCGCATGATTCGGGCTCGAGTCAAATGGGCGTCTTCTGCGTGCAAGATCACACCCAGATGTATATGGGGCGCAGATGCGGACCGTCCGCCACCGAGTCGGTGCAAGTATCTCTTGTGACCTGGATATCCACGCAAGCTGGGGTGAACGAAGTCAGTGTAAATCGTGCATCTAGATGGAAATAGAATGAGCAGGATCAAGGACGCAATGACATGCCTGCATGATACGGGGGCCAGATTGAAAATGCGAAGATCAGCGCTGAGCAGGAAGGAAAGGAATAGTATATCAAAGGAGTGCACGGCTCGCGAAAAAAGATGGAACAACACATAACTCGGGCCTGATGCAAAGACTGATAATTTGAATGGAATGTGGATCATCTCTGGACGAAAAAGATCGGAAAAATGATGTCTTGAGGCACTTTGCAAAAACACGAGTTGTGATGTTACAGGAAACGGATTTCAAAAGGTAGCGCCTGGGAAAGCTGGAATTAGCGAGCGACAAAAAGCGCAAAATACACAAAATTTCCAGATTAAGTGGATGACTCGGGCCCGAGTCGAACAGGCTCCGTCTGCTGCTGGAATCTATACACTGAATTTCTCGCAGATGCGGGCCATCCGCCACCGAGTCGGTATTTAGTCTGAACGTCCCCTGTATAAGAAAGATGAGACAGGTGTGCAATACAGCCGGTGCACCGCGCGGAATGTAATTGGCCAAAATTTGGAACGCACGGATGGGAACTCTTTGAGAAGTCGAGGTCAGTGCGGATGAAGAGAGCCATTCAATACAGAGGTATGAAGAGCATTAGCGCTGAGGCTCCGGAAGAAGAATGGCGAAAAAAAGATAAGAGGCTAGATTCATCATGACTCGGGCCTGATTCGAACAGGCGCCTTCCGCTGGAAAATCTGGGGAATACAGGAAAAGCGGATGCGATACCATTCGCCACCGAGTCGTTGCAAGAGCTCGCGGCGCCAGAACATGAGAGTAAGAAAGAAGAGGAAATTGACGGGGACCGGCAAGCCGGCACGTCAGGCCGGCACGTCAGGCCGGCACTGCCCCCGGCATGCGGTCAGCAGCCGCGCCACCGCGTTGCCTTGACTGCTTCCACTCTTGTCTTCCTCCTTCATCTGCTCTCCCTCCCCTTCCTCGACCTCGAGCCTTCACCTCTCCCTTAACCTCTCCCTGAATCCACACCCGATACGCTCGATAAGATGGCCAGCCAAGCATGGCACTATGTCCTCAAATTCATCATCACCGGTGCGTGTGCACCCTTCTCGCAGTCGAATCGCTCTGAAATGAGCGGATTTGCATGGGTACAGGCGATGCAGCAGTCGGGACATCGTCTCCCCTCGTACGGCTCACGGACCAGTGCTTCCTCGCGAACCCCGACCCCACCGTCTGTCCCTGTGCCACTCTCCATGTACTTGCGCTGATATGGCTGGATGCAGCTGGGTATCGAGTTCGGCTCGAAGCTGATAACGCTACCGGACGCGGAGGGCACGGTAATGAAACTGCAGTGCTGGGATACCGCAGGGACGGAGTCGTTCCGCTCCATCACGCGCTCGTATTATCGGGGTGCTGCTGGTGCGCTTCCTACTCCTTGTGCATCTCAGTTTGTGGCTTACGCTTACTCGAGACTGCGGGCTTGTTTACGACGTCACCTCCCGCCGCTCATTCGAGAACGTCTGCACACGGCTCGCAGACGTGCGCGCCCACGCGGACGCACACGTACTCGTTGGGAATAAGCGCGATCTGTGCGAGGCCGATGGTGAGTCTGTCCCATACATTCAATTTCGTTCTTTGTGGGAGTGGGACACGAGATTCCACGTGCGTCCTGTGCGCTGCTACTGAAGATGGGCTGCGACGGCAATCTCGCGCATGCGCAGAGGCCCTCGTAGAAATCGGGTGCGTGACAGCGCTGTCTAGCAGGTATACGCGGTACCGCATCGAGGATGTATCTCTCTGCCCGCCCTATGTGCGCCACAAGCTACGCTACGCCCCATGCAACGTCCATGCTGCGCTGGTTACCCATGCTCGTGCGAGACGTTCATGTATGTGTCTCTCTCTGTGTGCCCACACGCTACGCTACTGCATGCGCTGCGATCCGTGCCCGCGCGAGTGCCGGCAAGCTGGGAACTCGTGTGCGCTGCGAAACCGGCGATTCTTGCGCTGCACGGGGAATGCGCGCGCAGAAACACCGAGATCCAGCGTGGGGGAATGCATGCGGGAATGACACAGCTGTACACGGGTGTGGCTGGGAGGTGGGGACATTCCACGCGAATTATCGTGTGCGCGCGGGGAATGGGCTGCGAATGCAAGTCTTGTTTTTTCTCCCCCGGTGCCGGGCGCTCCGCATTCACTCCTGCATGCGCGGCGTTCTCTGCATCCCCAGCGCCCAAGTCGTGATGCATTCGTTTTTTAACTTAACGGAGATCGTTGTGATATCGTTATAGAAGACATTGTGCACACTGGAGATAAAATTAAACACATTTCCTGTGTATGTGGAGACGTGTTGCGATTGGACATTAGTGGCGTCAAACATAGCCTCGTGCACAGCCTTGGAACGACTCTCCCTTCGCCATCCACCTCGTTGACCCCCAGCTTTCTCTCCACGCTACGAAATGGCGGAGCTGGCCCTAGGACTCGTCGGTGCTGCTGCGACGGCTGGAGCAGCGGCGCTCACAACCGGATCTGGATTCATAGGACGGCATGAAAGCAGTCATCGCGAGGAGATGATGGAGACGCGAAGGAGTATGGATGAGTTCACGAAAAACCGTAGCAACGGCAGCGTGACACAGGACGAGGAGGCTGAATTCCTGAACACCAGAGACGAGTGTGTATACATGTTACCTTGAACAAATGTGAAAACTGAAGCTGTGGTACCAAAGAGCGATTCAGAGGCAGAACGAATATTATGGACGTATCGAGAGTTACAAGGAGGCCTCATGGGTGAATCCCCTCAATAAATTGAAGAAGAGGAAGGCTGTCCGCAAGGCGAAACGCTTGACGCGGCAATCCAATCATTCGCTCAGAAGTCAGAACGAGGTGAGTCGCACTGCGACCGACGGTGCGAATATATTGATTCACAAATACAAAGTCGATGTATTCAGGATCCGATACATCCTTCATCTCCGCGGAGTCGAGCTCTCCGCCTGGATCCAACCTAGCCGACGACGATCTGCGAGATTGGAGGAATGCCGTAGACGAGGCCGCTGGTACTGGTATCGAGGACGTGGCTGCAGGCAAAGGTCGGGAGACCGCAGAAAGCACGGATGAGGAGAAGGATGAAGAGAAGGATTGGCGAGAGTATAGGCTCTGCGGTGTCTCAATAGGCGACGTTTTAAACGACCGATATGAAGTCATCACGAAAGCCGGATTGAACAAGAGATGCATCGCGTGGTTTGCACTCGATAGGTTGAAGTGCGTTGTTTTCCCTGTTCTCCGGCGCGGCGACGTTGATTGAGATATTTACATAGGGTCCACCAGCTTGTTCGGCTCCAAATCTTCAAATCCGCCCCCCAGTACACTCAGTCAGCAATCAAGGAGATAAACTTTCTCAAGGGCCTACTAACGTCTTCCGATCCCAACATCCTCAATTTACACCCAGGGACAACCCATATTATACGTTTCGACCACTTCCTGCACCAGGGACCCAGCAGGACGCATGTGTGTATGGCCTTGGAGTTTTTCGAGGATATTCGGCATTTGAAGAAGTTACACGACGGGGTACGTAACGACGTTCATTCGCGTGGCCCCCAACACCTTTGATACGATGCCCCTCGGTGCAGAATAAAGGTGTCCCTATCCTGCTCGTAAAGCAGATTGCAAAACAGGTCTTGCTGGGTTTGGACTACATGCATAACCGTCACGGTCGTGGCGTTATACATACCGGTGAGATACTCTTCAATACCTATATGTATATTTCCCCTCATATTACTGTTAGACATAAAACCCGAGAACCTTCTCATCGATGTTAGCAATCATCCGGAGACGATCACGGTACAGATTGCAGAGTGGCAGAATGCCAGCAATGCACCTTGTAGCTTTACTTCTAGCCTTTGAGCGATTGACTTCTGATCAATCGTTTCCCTCAAGTGAATCGCGATTCAAGATACTGGACGGAACATCGCACTTTCAAAAACAGAATCGAAACCGGGCAGTACCGCTGCCCCGAGGCCATTATTGGCTCGTTGGTTGGGACGGACGCAGATATATGGAGTGTTGCCTGCGTGGTACGTCCGTATGATTTCTGTCTCAATTGCACGTTCACCAATATTTATCAGCTGTTCGAGCTAATAAACGGTGAGGACCTCTTCGACCTAAATCCAGTGGCAGGCGGCGAAGACAACCACTTGGCACAAATGATCCAACTTCTCGGGGAGTTCCCAAAGCATATGCTGAAGGAGACGTCATTCATATGGTGGTCAAAATGCACATTTATTCAGCCGCAAGTTTTTTTGCCAAAAATGGACTTGCCGCAGCTTTTTTGTCCTTTTGATGCCCATGCCGCAACTTTTACGTCCTTTCGGGAATGACAAAAATAGTTGCGGCAGGTTGTGTTCTGCCGCAACTTTTTTTTTTCGAGTGTAGCAACTTTTTTTTATACGAATGGTTGAGATAATATTAGCAATATTCCAGAAGCTCACAATCCAGCATGGAGCCATTGGCACGCTGGAACAGACTGGAGCTAATCTCAATAAGGCAATAAGTTTAGTAATCTCACCCCTCCTTTGCTTCCTCCATCCACACTTGTTCCCTGTCCCAATTCTACTAATGTGATAGGTCTCTTCGGTGTACACTTTTGGCTCGCTCCACTACTGCTTATGTGATGCTATACAAGCTATATGGGACTCTCCTGGTGCAATCTAGTATTCACTGTATCTAACAACCGAATCCATGGCGGGTATTCTACCATTCTGGCCACACTATTGCTCTCATTGATATACTATCTTCCTGCTGCCATTTAGATTAATCAGCTTGGAGCCTCCGAGAACATGTCATCGGGGATGCCGAGAGTGTTTATGGCATCAATCAGCTGCCACACAAAAGTGAGTGTACCTCGCTCAAATCTCGTCGGATTTCATTGAGGTAAGGGATGTACAGCTGTATTAGAATCCCTACAAGAGGATAGTCAAATATTTTTGTGCCTCAGACCCCGAACACGTCATAGGGCACGCCGAGAGTGCTTATGGTACCAGTCAGGCCTCACACAAAAGCGAGTGTATTTCGCTCAAATCCGACCAGATTTCCTTCAGCTAACAGTGGCGTTTTTATCCCCCCTCGAGGCTGGTCATCTGGTACCTCCTAGCTCAAATGTGTCGTCGGGGACCCCAAGAGTACTTATGTCTCCTATGTCACCAATAGACCCAAAAGTGAGTGTATCTTGCTCAAATCAGCTCGTATTTCTTTGAGCTAAGGGGTTAGGCAGTGAGCCAAAAGTGTACAGGAAGGGGCCTATCACATGAGTGGAATTTAGATTGAGCGGACAAGCGTGGATGGAGGAAGCAACAAGGAAGCGATAAGAAGTTGGTAGGATTACTAAGCCCTCACTTATTGCCTTATTGGGATCAGCTCCGATCTGTTCTAACGCTCCAACGGCTCCATGTTGGATTGCGAGCTTTTGGATAATGGATAATTCTATCTCAATTAGTTGAATGACAAAAATTTGTTGCACACGAGAAAAAAAAGTTGCGGCAGAGCTCGACTTGCCGCAACTATTTTTGGAATTCCCGAAAAGCCCTAAAAGTTGCGGCATGGGCATCAAAAGGACAAAAAAGTTGCGGCAGGTTCAAATTTGGAAAAAAAAGTTGCGGCCGAATAAATGTGCATTTTGACCGCCATACATTCAGGAGCCGGGGTTTACTCGATTCAAGAGGTGAGTCACATCTCCCGCCTTCGCGTGTTTCTGATTTCCGTGCATCTAAGGGATATTCTGGCATCCCCCCAAGCTGT